GGGGGGAGGCGGACTGGGGCGCCGCCATGCCGGCGGGAAGCCTGGGCTGTGCGGGATAGCGGCGGGAGGAGGGAGCAGCCGGCGGCCCCCCGGGGCTCTCCGAGGGGCGGGAGGTGCCGGGACGGCCGCTGCCCTCCGGGGGTTCTGGCTTTGGGGTTTTCTCTCTTTTGTGTCTCTGTGTATCGGGAATAGCGTGGCCAGCAGGACCGGGGAAGTGACTGGCCCTCTGTGCTGGGCACTGGTGAGGCCACACCCCCAGTCCTGTGTCCAGTTCTGGGCCCCTCCATTCAGGAAGGACAGTTAGGTGCTGGAGTAAGTTCAGAAGGGCAACGGAGCTGGTGAAGGGTCTGGAACACAAGCCTGATGAGGAGCAGCTGGGGAGGCTCAGCCGGGAGAAAAGGAAGCTGAGGTGGGACCTTCTCACTCTCTACAACCACCGGAAAGGAGGTGTAGCCAGGTGGGAGTCGGGCTCTTTTCCCAGGTAGGAAGTGACAGAATGAGAAGACATAGGCTTAAGCTGCACCAGGGGAGGTTTAGCTTGGACATTGGGAAGAATTTCTTCACAGAAGGGGTGATTAGAGATTGGAATGGGTTGCCCAGGGAGGTAGTGGAGTCACTATCCATGGAGATGTTTAATGAAAGACTGGATATAGCACTCAGTGCCATGGTCCGGTCTTTCCCAACTTCACTGATCCTGTGATTCTGTCTGGTTTTGGCCTTGTGTAGCAGCATTGCCTCCACCCTGTCTGTTTTTAGACAAATTCAGGTTGTTCCTGGCAGGTTCCTCCTTGAGTGCATCCAAGTTATTGGAAAGAACCTGCTTCCTCACAGCATGTTGACATCGCAGCAACTGCTATGTTCTCCTGGGCAGTGAGGCCTCGGAGGGGTCTGGAGCCCTCTGACCTCTGGAAGAGGAGCCAGCAGAGGATTTAGTGTTCCTTTGGATGGGCATCCAAGGAACCTCGTGGTGGTTGATAGCTCCAGCAAGGCTGGCTTGGTTTGCTTGTGTTGCTGGGAAAGGATGGCTGGTTTGAAACATCAGTAAGGTTTGTGTCATGCAGGAACCAATAAACAGATGAGCAGGGAATTTCTGCCATGATGGGATAAAGTTTTTGCAGATGCTCTTCTTGTAACATCCAGCCAAAGCTGCAGCTTTGGTAGCTGGAAATCACCTTTCAGTGTAATTGTTAAATTAAGGCCCACTGTGATGTGTGGTTTGACAACTGTTGGTAATTTGCAGTTTTAAAGAGAGCCCCTTGCTGATGGGTTTCAAACCTCCTGACATAAAGAGTAGGTTTGATTTTTGTAGCTGGTTGGGTGTTTTAAAATGTGAGAACAGAAAGTAGGGTTGAGTGTTCACGTCCAAGAGAGGCAAACAGGGAAGAGGTGCTGGGAAAAAGTTTGAGTTGCAGGAAAGTCATGCATTGGAAAGGAACAGTTAAAAAGGAAGATAAATAGGCCACACCTTCAAAGATGACTGACAGCTCTGACTTACAGGTGAGGGTTGGATGTGAGGCATCTCCACAGTGCAGGTATTGTCTCAAAAATCTGTAGGCTTGGTTTTACAGCTTTGTAAAGTGTTTGGCAGAGTTGATAGGAAATACTTTTGCTACTGAAGTGAGAACCTGAAGCTGCTAAGAAGTTAGTGGCAGAAAAAAAACCAGTAAGTACTTCTTACTAGTAATAAGTAAATGGTCAAAAATTACTGCTTATTACTGTAGTTAGCGGTTTGCTCAGTAGCAGAATTGGGATGAGAGCACAGCTGTAATCAGCAGATGCCTTGTTCTGGCTCTAGGCCATGTTAGGTGGATTTAACCTGTTGCTCACAGGTTTTCTGGTCATGGAGGATAAAAACCATTACAAATGCCCATTTCCCTCTATTCCCTCTACACTCACACCCTGGCACTAGTGCTCTGCCACTGTGGCTCCTTGTCCTTTCTAGTCAGCTCTTATTTCCCATTTTGTTGTCTGTTGTGAAAATGAGGGTGTTGGGAAAGAAGTTGCCCCCATAACCAGTTTGTAGACCAGTTAAAGTATTCTAAGATGGTTCAAAAAGCTGAGTTTCTTGGTTCTTGTCTTTTTCTGCAGGTAAGTGCTGTGTATTCTTCAAGGAGAACCTGTAATTAGCAGTTTTCTCCTCACTGAGGAGTTGCTGCTGCCTGAACAGGCGAGAGGACAGAAATCAACTCAGTATAATCAGGCCAAAATGTCTTTTCTTGGTATTTGCAAGAGCCACGTTGGGCATATTGAAGTGCATGTCAGAAGCTTTAAGAGCAGGCAATAATTATAGTTAACTTGGGTTTTTCATTGCTGTGTATTTCTGTGGGCTGAAGGGCTTGTTTCTGCTTATTGTTGTTCTAGCTTCAAATTACAGTATTCCTCTTTTTAAAATTTGAGTTAGCAATACAGTTATGCAGAAACAAACTGAACTGGGCAACTCTGGAGTTTTGAGCAATGTCCAAGAAGGCATGTGTGTGTGTAGGTTTAAATAACTGATTTAAACAAGCATTAGATATTTTAGTGTGAGAAGCAGAATTTTTTCCATATGACCCTTTTTTCCCCTGTAAGGACACGTTCAAGATGCTGCCAGCTGTAGGGAACACTTGATGATTTTTCTGTACATGAGCTGTGAGTTGCTGTGAGCTACAGCTTTAAACTCAGTTGTAGATTCTGCCTGTACCAGATGGAAGGTGGGAAAGAGTAAAGAAGTTTGGGTGAGTTTTGAACATCAAGGTGCAAGTGAAAATTCCCTAAATAGTGTTAATGGGTGGGACTTCCCTGCCTGTCTCCTGAAAGTGCTGTCTTGACAACAGGAGGCCAGGGCCTTAAGGTAAACGTTGGCATGTGTTGCCACTCTGGGTTGTGAAATGTTTAGCGAGTGTACGCTCAGGAGCTTGCAAGTGTGTCCTCTTTGTGGTGTGTATCAGCTTCTGCCTGGAAATGTGTAACTCCAGTCAGGAGAGCAAATAGGTCTGACTTACAGCACTACTTTATTAAAAAAAGGAGAACTTTGTTTCTCTTTGTGCAGGATGTTGAGTTTAA